GGGGGGTGTGTGTGTCAATGACATTTGGATCAAATAGTTCCTTTTTCAAACAGACAATCCTTAGTGTTTTTTTTTTTGTATCGTGGAGACTGACTTCCTGGCACCACTCAGATCTCCTTAAATATGAATATGGCACTCCAACCACAAAACAAATCTGGTAGTGACACCACAGTTTAAAGGGGGGACAATGTATTTAAGACAAAGATTGAAATTGGTATTGCTACAGGACACAGTTAATCAAGTAAAAAGGGACAGATAGATTATAGGGGAAAGACTGGTGCGGTTTAAATCTGCATATTCAATAAACTCTCCTTGGGAAAGATCAGTTCATACAGTAGGAACCCCCCGCCAATAAAAATCTATTTAAAAACATCTATAAGAACATAATGTGAAAACAAAGTATATATATATTTATATATATTGAGACATCCATGAGCAGTGGCATTGAAGAAGCGTCAGATAGTTTTGGCTCTGGCGTTATGTGCTGCCGCTGCCCATGGCTTCCTCTCATCTCTATAACTTTATTCAATATGTACTCCGCAAGCAGCGGAGCTTTCCTAAAATACCAGGAAAACAGTAGTGCAACAAACTTTTAGCAAGATTTATTTTCAAGTACGTGAATTTAGGACTCAAACACTTTGTAAGATGCAATCCATAATCTAAGCGGGGAGGAGGAGTTAGTAACCTTTTAAAGAAAAATGATCAAAACTGACCTTTTTTCTGATGATGACACATGTGGGGATTGCCCACAGTATTGAGTATGTTAGCCGCTTTGGATAAAAGCATCTAACATGTAATGTGATGCTGTTGCTACTGGAAGTGTGATTAAAGTACTTCCAGTAGAAACATCATCCTGTGCTAAATACACATTTATATATGGACTGCACCTTTAGACCCTTACACACTTTTTGGTTCACACCAAAACGAATAGTGAGCAGGTCATGTGTTTACGCTGTCTGGACGACAACTATCGTGACCTTTGACCTTTCCTCGGCCCTTGCAGGTTTTCCTGTGAGGCTATGAGTGAACTAAATAAAAAGGCATTATTGAAAAATAAGGCTACCAGTCCGAGGCGTTTTAAGGCACCCAGACTGAGCTACATTCCATCTTTGACGACAAAAAGAAGAAAATACCAGAGAAGATGTTTTAGCTTACAGTGATGTCCATTTTTTTTGTTTTTTTTAGTATTGGGGCTAAAACTACTCTTTATATTTGATTTCTTTCTCTCGCTATCTCAAGTTTTATTTCTTCTTCTTAAATAAGCTTTTGATTTTAGAGGAGGAGCGCTTGATTTTCTCTCCATTGTCGCTGGAGTCCTGGGAGGAGGTGCTCTGGAGCTTGTACTCCCGCCCCACGCCTGAGTCCAGGGAGGTGAGGGAGGGGTTGCGGCCCTTGTTGGGCAGCATGCTGGCGGGCAGCTGGCTGTAGCTGTAGGACTTCTCCAGGATGCCGTTGTACATTCCTTTGCCCGTGGGAGAGGTGGCGTTCCCCTGGGAGAAGGTCATGCTCTTGGACTCCGGGATGGAGCGGGTGATGTCTGGCGAGCCTCTGTGGGGGAACGGGTGGCGCTCCAGGGCCGGGGAGGGGGAGCCGGAGGGGGTGCTGGCCTGGGGGGGGCAGAGGAGGAGGAGGCGTGGAGTCCCTGAGGCTGCTGCTGCTGCTGCTGCTGGGGGTGTGAGTGGTGTGGGGCAGCTCCATGCTCTCCCTCTGGGTGAACAGCAGCAGCTCCTCGCGGGAGATCTTGCGGTACGGGGTCTCCGAGCCCGACGTGCAGGGGTTGTGCAGCTGCTTGCGGCTCATGGAGGAGCCGAGAGAGTCTGTGTCGGAGCAGCACTCCTGAGAGGGGTCCCTGGGGGGGGGGGGGGGGGAGCAGAGGGTCACAACAAGACAGGTGAGGAAGTTAGAGAAAATAGTGTCATACATAAAAAACGGAAATAGATTTTTCTTTCTGGCACTTTTACGTTTTTAAAAAGTATATTATTTGCCATGGAGGTTAGCGGTATCCTCCATAATGTGGGGATTTTTTACAGCTCAATAAAGAGCATTCAAATTCAACTGGCTCTTTTCATTTCAACTGTTTTTGGTAATATAAATTCACAGTTTAAAGGGAATTTGTCAAATGTAAGCACATTATAAATGGAAGGAGAAGTTACAATTTCAGGGCATTTTTTGTGAGGGGCCATATATGTAAATCCACTATTAACAGGTTTATTTTAATCTTTATTATACTTGCATGATAACATTTTGCTTTATGAAATTACTACAAACAATTAGAGGCCCAGAAGCAATCAGGCAAATCTCACCATGTGTCAGAAAGTACCAACAATGGTGGGATTGTTTGCAATTTTTTGCAGGCAATAGAAATGAAAATGTACCATTAATGCTTCATGTAATATTAATGGCCACAACCTTTCTTCAACGCGTCCTACATTAGCTAGTTTTGGCATCAATTTACAAGAGCTTCTCATTACATAAGAAATACAATTATGTGCTGTCGGTACATATATTTTTCCTATATTTTTATTTTTGCTAAATGTGTTTTCATTAGTTACTATTTTGTCATGCTTCAACATGACTTAACTTAAGGGTTTAGTCTTCAGTGAACCATTAGTCAGGCAAATGTGGGGATAAAGTGCATGAATGAAAGTGGACACAAGAAGTAATGAGATAAATGAGTTAGACATTGAAACATCATACAGGAGGAGATTCACGCATCGTTAAAGCATCAGTGAGATTAAACACCTGTGAGTCCAAACTGTAAAGCCATTCCGCGGCGTCCCGGCCACCGCTACATACCCCCTCCTATCCGAGCTGAACATGATATGTTCGTCGTCGGCCTCGGAGCGATAGGAGAGGGACGAGCTGGCCATGGAGAGCAGGTCGGGGTCCGGGGACATCAGTGAGGACTGGGGGGAGCTCAGCAGGCTGCGGCGGGACCGGCACAGGCTGCTGCTGCGGGTCAGAGAGGGCCGGATCAACGTGGCCGCTGGGGGGCGGGGAACGGGGTGTTATAATACATTTTTCCACTATAAAATTAAGCAAGGGGATGTACTATGAAACAATATAAAGACATATTGATATATGATAATAACTATAATAATTATAATAACTATTATCACAATTATTAGGAATTTTTTATTAATTTTTTTTAACGTCACCCTGGAAATGGGTGAAAATAAAATAATAAACTTTAAAAAAGAATTAAAGATCAGTGAGTATGTATGGGTATATATCATTTTCTTTATCTGTGTGCGTATTTAATTACGGAATTATATATTTTTTCTTTATCCTCCAACTGGATGACTAACGGGTGGGCTACCTCTGTATAAAAAATGCTTTCTGCCCTCCTGCTTCTACTCATTTTGATTGTTTTTTTTGTCTAATTGTTGGTATGGTAGAATAAATAATAACATTTAAATAAGTAAAAACATAGCTTGCAAGCTGATTTTTTGCACTGTACACAGCTTTTAACGCATGTCGTAAACTCCTCCGTTCTCCTACTCACTAGTGAACTGGGGAATGATGGGAGGCGTGTCCTCGTCCAGGTCGTCCACCCCTCCTGCGATGGGGTATGGGGGCACGGAGACTCTGGGCATGACCACCCAGCTGTGGTCGGAGTAGAGGCTGGCCGTCAGGCTGGGCAGCCCCGAGTTGTTGACCACAGGGAAGTTGCAGAGCTTCTCGATCTGCTGCCAGCGGTGCAGACGCTCCCTGAGGCACGCCGTCACCTCCGACAGGGATTTCCTAAAAAACACAATCGAGAGAGGAGGGTACGTTTAACCTGGCAGATATTAGAGTAATAGAGACATTGGGTTTCAGAGCCAGTAAGAAGCTTAGTTTGCTTTGATTTGTCAGGAGGGTTTTGGCACACAAGCCTGCTGGTTATATTACGATATTGGCATGCAGGGGATTTCACTTTATTCCCTTTATTTCATTTTTCTTTCCCTTTTGGCTTTTGAAAACAAAAGAATTCTTTATCTCAGCCTGAATTATACAAGCCTTCTGAATGTATCAAACATATCTAGAATAAAAGTTGGGGTGTCTACCTCAGACATGTAATAAAATCAGATGTGTGCATGAACCTATGTTCATGCACACATCTGATTTTATTACAGTTGTATTAAAGTTAGTAATTTACACTATCAGATAAATAGGAGTAGCACATACAGTCCATGCATTGGGCTAAGTAACATATACTTACAATAAGTACTGTAATTTGTTGACATTATTGCAACGGACAATAAATCCTCCTGTTTGGTTGCACACAATGTTGACCTCTAGCTACTGTGTGTGTGTGTATGTATGTATGTATGTATGTATGTATGTATGTATGTATGTATGTATGTGTGTGTGTGTGTGTGTGTGTGTGTGTGTGTGTGTGTGTGTGTGTGTGTGTGTGTGTGTGTGTGTGAGCTTCTTACTTTGCTTCTAGTATCTTGTGGTCCACCTCATCCAGTGATGAGCTGTGGGCTACATGGAGGGTTCCAAACACAGACCCTCTTTTCTTCTTGATTTTCTCTGCCTGAGGTTCAATAACACACAAGACAGAGAACACTTATTTCAGCTTGTCTAACAATAAACTAATTTCGGGCCATAATTAGTTGGTAAGGCCAGCCTTGATGCTTTACACGGCTTCTAAACAACACAGCTCGTCTCCCAGAGAGCAGACTGAGCCTCTGATTTACTGCCCTTTCAAGAGATGAGCAACACTGTGTATTTTGTCAGCTTTTGATTTGTCTGTCTCCTGCCAGACAACGCCCAGGGCATTAAAAGTCTCTTAGCAGAAAGACAAATCTAAGGTAAGCTAATCTTTTAAAATTCCACATCATTCAATCCACAAAGAGAGTTATCAACCCGAAAGTATATCTAAGTCCACATCACATGCTCACGATCTGTGTATAAATATATGAGGTTACCTCTTCTTTGGCGATGGAGAGCTGGAACTCAGCGCTCTGTTTCTTGATGTTGTAGTACTGGACCTCCACCTCGTGTGTGAGCTGGAGCCACTTCTGCAGAGCTTCGGGCACCGAGCGCTCCGAGTGCATCTCCTTCTCCGCTCGCTTCAGGGCCTTTCGAACCTACGGAGGAGGAACGCGATACATCAGGGTCCAGCTCGGGTTATATTCACTGCACTTTATCTAAAAAACATCTGTAAGAGCCAAAGACAGCTTAATGTTACGAGAAAATGAGTCCAATCCTGGCTCAGGAATATTTTATGTTATATGAAAGTGAAAGTAGTGATTTTCTTTTTTCATTTAATAAGAAGAATACCAGATTTTCATTTCAAGGCTTTTTAGCAGCAGTGATTGAATACACTGGCCTTTTGGGGTGTAAATACATTTGATTTGAATAATGAATGATTAGAATGTGTTTGTGTGGGAGGTGCTACCTGTACTAGCTCTTCCTCGGCGTATTTCAGCCGGCTGAGTTCACACTCGGCGCCCTCCCTCAGCTCTCGCAGCCGGTGAGCCTCCGTCTTGGCGCCGTTGATTTCATCTCGCATCTTCTGCTCCAGGGTCTGCTTCTCCACGGCCACCGTCCGGTTCTCCTCCTGCGCCTTCTCCAGCCTGGGAGATGAGAGGTTGTTTTTTATTTTATTTAGACACCCGAGAAACAAACAAAATGAGTAGAAGCGGTCATTAGTCATCCAGTTGGAGGATAAAGAAAAAAAATTCCGTAATGAAATACTCACACATAAACACAATTCTATATATACTTACATAATGTACACTTATACATACATACACACATTTCCAGGGTGAAAATAAAATAATAAAGTAAATAAAATAAAATAAATTAGTCCACGTTCAGATAACAAGACAGTTTCATTTCTCATCCTATTTTTATGTAAAATTCATAATTATGATAATAGTCATTATAATTATTATAGTATTTAGAATTATTATTATTATCATTATCCATATAATCTTTTTTTATATATTTTTAAGTTAATCCAAAGGCACAACGAAAAACAAAAACAATTTTTTTAACACGCACCAGGATGGACAAGCTACGAAAGTGATATCTAAGGTCTATTTTATTGTATTTGTACATCTCCTTCTCTTCTCTCACCGGCTCTGCAGGTCCATGAGGCTCTGCTCAGCGTTTTGCAGACTCTCCAGATCCTTCATCATCTGAGAGATGTGCACCTTGCTGGACTTGTTCTGCACGTAGGCGAACCAGCAGCCCCCGACACCTATCACTATGGAAACCATCAGGACAAAGTCTTTCAGCCAGTTGTGTTGCGGACCTGCAGAGGGAGGGAGAAAGGGGACATTGAATTGTTCTGGCTTCAAAAACTGAGAGTGTGGGCCAACACATGACCCGAGTAACGATGGTTATTCATGTTTCATTGAAATACTTACGTAGAGGAGGGCCGAAAAGCACAGCGTCTAGTGCCTTTAGATTGAGCTTTTGTTTATGCCGCTGGTCTAATATCTTCAGCTGCATCGACATAAACGACGGTTCATTTGCCGCCATTCTGAAATATGGAGAGGGAGAAAAGTCAGCATTGAAAACCGAGTTCCTTTTCCACACAGTCAGATTCCAGTGTGTATTGGTTTTGAAATGTGTACATGTTGTTTAAATGTTTCGATGTAGCGTTAGCAGGGTCATATAAAAGGTTTGATTCAGGGCAAAGATCTTGACAATAATACAGATTATGGAACCGCTTCAATGATTACACTATTTACCAAGTCTGTTCAAGTTGAAAAACAAATTGGGACCCAGGGAAAACCGCTTGACTGGATCATTTACTCGTCAGTTTTGAATCTGCCCGCGTTGGATTTTCAGTATATTTTAGAAGATGCTTCATATTTTTGTTCCAAAGATTTTCCTTTTTTGCTGCAGAATACAGAACTGTGGGTTAAAGTCACTTCTTGGAACTGACATTGTTGAATATGTGTGCAGCAGGTATCACACACAAACCTCCAGCATTAACAGAGCCAGTGTGAATATATTGAAGCCACACCACCATCTTAAAGGCTCAGACAACATGGCAGCCTGTGGAAACTGAAGCCCCTCGCAGTGACATCACTTCATGAGTCAGCGCTCATCAGCCCAGTGGCGAAACATGAGACCCCTTTAATAACCCCAACTCCCCCTCACCCGCTGTCTACTCATGCCGTACATGCAGTTTGCAGCGAGTCACATTCCACAAGTGTCCCAGTGTCGGCTCTGGGATGACTTAGTTACTTGTTAACGATTCCATATCAACTGGGAGTATTGGATATATGAGTGTTTTTAAAATACTAAAATGTGATTAACTACACAGGAGGCAGGTCAAATATTCAACTTTTTCCCACTGTGTTACCTTTTATGTCCAGCAGTGGGCAGCATTAAACAGAGTAATGCAAACTAAAGGTGCCTTTGTGTATTGTAATAAAGCTCATAATGGTAATAGGTGCTCCTAAACACATTTTACTGCTTACTAACATCTTAATTAGAGGCAGAGAAATGACACGAAGCACTCGCAACATCTGCCATAAAGATATTAATGAGTGTTGATTTCATTACGGGCGTTACTGAAGGAGAGAATGAACGCTCTGCTCCTGTGAGCCATGAGGTGTGTGACACATTGTGAGGGGTACAAACCGAGGTAAAGTGTTCCCCGTGACTCTGAAGTCCCGGAAGTGCTTCTCGTACTGCGGCAGCTCCACGGACTCCTTCAGCCACTCCACCGCGTGATCCACCGTCCAGTTGTGGACTGAAGAGGAGAGAAATGAACGACATGCGGTTACTGTTAAGCACTTAGCTGATGCTTTTATCAAGAGGAAGGTCCTTTACTTTAATTAAAGTTCATACAATAAGAAAAAGGTCATGCGACCACTTTCTAAACAGATTTACAGGATAAACAAGTTCTACTTTGGACATTTATACATTTAAATTGTTTTTTTAACAAATATCGCCCAGGGAAATCACTCTTTTATGAAACCATTACCAACACAAAGACCGCTTGTGAACCCCACAACTCTGCATGGATTGAAAGGACTGTTTAAAAAAAAAATCTATTAATTAATTAAAAAAATGAAATGCTGAAAATGATAATATTTTAATTTAAAAAAAATAAGTAAAAATATCAAAATGGCTATTCAATATTTACTAAAGCCTGCACGTCATGGCGCAACTGGGAGACTTGATAATAATTTAGGGACACTTTGCAAGCTGTTTACACTGAGCAGAGAGAAGGGGACAAGAGAGGTTGTAATTCATAGTTGTAAACATTTAAAAAGTAAGATATGTATAACACTTGTGGGAGCACGTAGAAAGTATATACATATTCAATTGCGTTTTTTTTCCGATTTTGACATTCTTATACTGAAAATTTGACTTATCCAACTTTCACGTTGCTTCTTTTGAGCCAGAGCGGTAACAACTGACAAAAGAAAATGCATATTGTAAAAAACGCAATATGAAAATCATCTGAAGAACGTTTTCATGCCTCCAGCCCGGGTGTATTTTGTTTATGCTAATGAAGCATGTTGAAAAACCTGTTGGGCAGCCACATAGCTCCTAACATATTTTCAGAGTGATAAACAAATATCGGCACGTACAGGCTGAGAGTGACAGATTGCGTGCGGGGGGGGGGGGGGGAGTTTAAAGATAAACAATAGAGGTATGTTAAAAAGAGGACTTTGGGTTAAATGTTGTCCCTTCCCCTCAGACATTTAAATAAGAGAAGAGGAAGTGGAGCTCTTTAAATGAGTTGATATGATTACAAATGTTAGTGTGATCAACATTTTAATTGCTCCTGAGCTGCGTAACAAAATAAATACATGAATACTCTCAGAAGCCCTTTAACCATAACTGAGTGTTTGCCTACTTTTAGTCCTTTCCATCATCAGCACTTCACTAAAGATAAATAGTCTCTCGAGTGCGCTCATCGTGGTTCACTTTTCCTGGAGCCCTTAAAGCAGAAGTTTTCTTCTACATTACGACGATGACTCGCTGCTCTTATGAGAAACCACCCCTGTGTCACATGTGTTATATTTATATAGGGAAGTCTGTCTCCTGCTTATTATGCAGCCTAGTTAGACAATGCTTATATTAGGGAGGGAGGCTGTGGCGCAGTGGACTAGTGCGTTGTTGTTTGGATCAGGGGAGCACAGGTTCAAACCCCACTGCAGTCAGCATGTCGTTGTGTCCCTGAGATACTTCCCCCCAAATTGCTCCTGTGGGGATTGCCCGCAGTATTGAGTATGTTAGTCGCTTTGGATGAAAGGGACTAACAAGTAACATGTAATGTAATATTATTCATTTGATTATTAATTCATTTGTAATTATTTAATTTTAATAAGTTTTATTTTCTCCTTAACAATAATGTAAACATTAATGTATGTATTTGTTTCACTTCACCACACAAAATAATACAACAATAATTTATAGATTTGTGGAAATATTTGCAATTATTTCCTTTTCCAATAATAAAAAAAAAGTAACAAAAGTTTGACAGATAATAATTTATTTGTGTTTTTGTTATTATTTGTATTATCTTGTCTCCATTAAATAAAAAAAGCTAAGTATACATTTATTTATATTTTGTATTATTATTATTAAATCTTTTCTTCTCTTGTATCTAATCATTTAGGCCAGGGGTGTCAAACTCAATTTAATCACGGGCCACATCAGCATTAAGGCCCAGATACACCGGCCCGAAATCGGCAGTAAATGGGAGTCGGGCCGAACATGAGCGTGGGTACGCCCTATTCGGAGTGGTGTGCGCCGCACCGTCGGGTCTTTTCTGCC